TTCAAGAAAATAAAGTGTGCCATATGCCGACACAATTGTTCCATGCTGCTTAAATTGTACGGTAGAAGGTGTTAAGCAATCTAATGCCCTAGTTTTTGTATCAGAGATATACCCTCCAAATGAATCAACACAAGGTTTATCCCACCCCTAATCTGAAAACACATATAGTTGGGAGCGGTCGAAAATCCTTGCACCCAAATGGGTGGAACCACTGAACTTGGCTACACGTGCTACTCGTGCACCCATATCATCAACTTCTCCTCCAAATTTGAATTTCGATCACTTCATATATGGCATCAATGTATTTGCCCCTAAGGAAAGTTACCATTAAAAACAAAGATCTATCTTCCCCCTGATTTACCGTCGTTGATGCATTCTCAACCATGGGCAAGCTGGACAGAGAAGAGAGATATACAAAACAAGTCAAATTAATCTTTCCAAAAAACTTCCAGACCTAGAGAGAATTAATGAATGAGCCAAAGGTATACAATCAACATAGCAAGATAAATATTTTATATTATATAATATATATAAAAAAACAGCGATGCAAATGGGAAACAAAAATGAAGAAGACGAAATCCACTAGTAAGCCATGCACTGACCTTGGGTAAGGACGAACGGCCCCATGTTTGCGACTGACGGGGAGTAGTAGGTCAAGCTTCTCCGATATTAATTTCTTCAGCGCGGCTAGAGATTTCTCCATCTTTGATATCTTGCCCAGTTCGCCCAACGATTTCTCCATCTCCCATATCTGTCCCAGTTCGCTCAGAGAGTTCTCCATCTCCAATATCTTGGGCAGAGATTTCTGGATCTTTGATATCTTACCCAGGAGCTCATCCTGGAGTGATGCCATCGTCAAGACATGGTCTTGACTGGAGGCTGCTGCGGCCATAATCTTGAATGCTAAATTGAGGCAAAAGGGAATTTAGGGTTGGTTGTGGGTATGAAATATAAGCTAAAGCCTGGAATTAATTCAATTGATCAATATGCTCTTTCATTCATCCGTAAAGTCATGTATTCAAATAATGGCCTAATTAATCTTGATAGGAGCAGGAAACTTTTTTTAAAAAAATATTTTTATTTTAAGGAACAAGCAGGAAACTTTTATTAAATATTATTTTTATGAAGGAAGAAACAGGAAGCTTTTTTATTTTTAGCCAAATAAAACACGGGAAACTCTTTTTTGTTTTTGTTTTTTTTTTTTTTTGGGAGAGAAAACAGGAAACTTACTTTTCTATTTTAGTAGGTGTAGGTGTATGACCGCTTTACTCTATTTGATTTCCCGTTTTAAAATTCCTAGTGTTACCTGTTTGTTTACTTATTACCCTTTTTATGGTTTTTTTGGGGTTTACTGGTGAGATTGGGTTTTAGGGCCAATTGAGGAAGTCGTTTAGTTCAAAGCCCTATTTAATTGACCTTCTTCTTTGATTTTATTGCTTCACTCTCATTAATCAAAGGTGCTCGCGGACTTGATCTCTCTGACTCCATCGTTTTTGCTTCATTGTCCAAGATAATCAAAGGTTACCTCATCTCATGCTTTCTCAGTCATATTTTTGTTTTTGTTTTTGTTTTTGTTTTCTTTTCTTTTGAACATTGTAGTAGTATTGTTTCTATTTGGTTAGAGTTGTGCATCTTAGTTTTCTTAGGATGTACACTGCTGTTTTTTTTTTTGAAATTTTATTTTTTACCTTACTATTCTTTTTGAGGTCAAGTGTTTTCTAAGGATACTGTTTGTTCTTACAAGTATACTTTTTAAAAGATGTTGAATGATTTGGAAGGCTAAAGTGCATTGCAATGTGTACTGTGTTTGCTGGAGAAGATGCAATGTCTTTTATTAAATGTTTGTTTGTTTCTATCTTTTCTTGCAGATTACTTTCATCCGTAAGAATTCTTTTCAGTAAAATGGATGACCAGACAGAGTTATCTAACTTTGTTCCACGGTTGCATAATGAAAATAATTCAAGGCACAAGGTCATTGGTTCTAGGCTTTGTTATTACAGTTTCAAGTTTAATTTAAGAAAAATTTCTCAAGAATTGTACAAGGGGCATTTGCATTTATCTTTTAATCGTCGCGGGGGGGCACGGATAAATGTGGTGTTTGTAAAAGTTTCTCGGGAAGATGCAAAAAAAAATATTTCTAAGGACTGCTGCAGCTAATGATGGTGTTGTTTTAAAGCCGTGGACTTATTTGTTCTCCCGACAAAAGCAGAACTTCTTTCGTTACTTGCCTAATAATGCAGACATGAAGAACGGAATCTGGACTATATGTTATGATCGCTTCGACCACAATCTTAAAAATTGGACGAATCTGGTGAAGAGAAATTATGGTTATTATGATGAGCTTAAACTACCTATCAAGACTGGCAATGGTGGTCGTCTTAACGAATTTTGGCGTGTTTCTATAAGGTACGTAGTTGGTAATTTTTGTTAAAATTATTGGTTATAGTTTTGTTTGTTTTAATTTTATTTGACATAAATTCTTTGTATTGTTTGTAGAGAGTTGATCAACGGCTTAGGTCGCATACATTCTAAGGGTTTATATCATGGTGGGTTGGGTTCGGAGAGTAATTATGTATTTATTGGCAAATGTCTGAAGGTAATTAACATTAAGGGAGATTTGGATGAGTTTAATACTGATGTAGACCGTGAGAATAAGAAGAAAGAAGATATTACGGACCTTTTAGGGATGTTGGACAACTGGTTCGAATCGATACTAGCGGGGGGGCAAAAGAAGTTGGCTGGAATGTCAACACTTCTTTGATTTTGTCAACCAAGCTAAGACTTTGAATTTCGAGTGAGTTGTCTATCTCTTTTATTTTATTTGATCTTTTTCTTTTTTACTTCATTTCTTATAGGATGTTCTTTTTGTCTTTTCAGATATGATAAATTTGTTAAAAAAGTGGTGGATCATCCGTTTTTGTTAAAAGCTGATGAAAGGATGCGTCTCTTTGATCATTATGAAGCTATGAGGAATGGTCAAATTACTTCTCCAAGAGTCCGCTGCGCTTTGGCATTATCCGCTTTTAATAATTTCAAATCCTGGAACTCTACATCAACCCTTAATAACATGGATAACTTTATGTTGGGTGTTTATAACCATAGAAACTCCTCCGCATCAAAAAAAAAGAAGAAACTCCTCCGCATCAAAAAAATAAAACCCCGTGTAAATTACCGGGGGGATGTGGTGGATCTTCTTAGGGTTTTAGCTAAATAGCTACAGAATTAAGTATATTTTTCGAATCTTCTACACAAATGACAGTAGCAAAACATTTGGGGGAAAAGAAATTTGTAAAGTGCCTTATACATAGCTAGATTCAGACAACAGGGGACGCATTCTCCTTCCGTAAGTACTGAATCTGACCGAGCAAGTACTTTTAACAGTCTAGTAGCTTCACACAACATATAGAGGCCTTTCAATTGTTCAGCTGATTTAGTTCTGTGCAAGAGTCAACTCAAATTAAGAATGACCCGCCATCATATCTGTTGAAAAACTAATGCTCATTTGTTCTACAAAGTTCTAGAAAAGTCAAGAGCTCACAATAAAGAAGTTGCATGGTGGCAAAACAAAATGAATATGGTAAAATATTCTAGAAAAAGGTGACAAGTGAATGGCTAAAGTATGGCGGTGGAAGAAATCTCTAGAGCAAGACCAAGACTGAGTCGGCAAACAATCATCTATAAATAGGCAGCAATCTACAATGAAATGTGGGGTGAACAAATAAACTCCCAATCTATGTGGGAGCCAAGAGCTACCCAAACTAGGCCATGTTGAGGAGGCCAATAAGCCTATATAAGCAAGAAAGAAGGCCAATAAGCCAATAGGCTACGAAGAAGGCCAATTAGCCTACACCTATGTACTATTCTCCTCCAATGTAATAAAATCACTTTATTTCGACTATTGCCTATTGTCCTAAACCCTTTCACCACATAAACCAACAATGGTATCATAGCAACACCACTCACAATCACCCTACAATCTAAAACGCTCATCACACACTTTCTAAAATTCCAACAATATCAAAAATTGATTACATTAAGAGAGACATGGTGAACTTCTCATAAATAAAAGGCAACTTACTGAGAGCATCAGCCAGCTCAAGAAAAAGCTTGCTAAAATGCTCACGCTTATATTTCTCACTCTCAGCCTTGTGGATTCTCTAACTAATTTTTCTAGGACAAGCCCTGCACATCAAACAGCTTTCTAAACACCTATCCAAGAAATCTGAGTGATTTTTCATCCTAAAATAAACAGTCATGTTAAGCCACTTGGACGTGGTACATCATTATTCTAAACGACTTCACAAAGTTGATAATGAGCCAGGGGAAATTCTGTTGGAAGACCCTCTAAAATCTTTTATAAAGCATGAGAAGTATGAAGTTCAAAATCAATAAAGTACAGGTGGCGCTTTTTTTTATTATAATTTTTTTTAACAGTATTACCACATCAGAACAAGATTTATCTGAAATAAATCAGCTTTATCAACAGTGAATCAAATTCTTTGTTCATAATAGAGCTTAAATGAACACTTCTGTCAAGATTTGCACCTAATTTTGAATCCTCTAACCAGTTAGAAAGGCTACCTGTCAACACTACTATTAACCTTGATAATGCACGTCTATCAATCATAGGTTCCTTCACACAGATACCATAAACTTTGGCTGAGTAAATTCTATTCCAAGAAGTATCCATCACTAGTTACATCTATTTTCTAACTCAGGATCGGCCGAAACAAATAACTAGTGGGCAGCACATCCAACATTCCCCAAAGTTCAGTAGAATTCGACAGGGACAAAACTTATACTGGTTCCACAACATAATGTATGCACCCTGTATCTTTTTCATCATTCCTTCAGAAACCCCATTTCTAAATATTCAATTTGCAACTCCTTTTCCATATCTTACCCTATTTTGCATCATCAAGTTTCTAAAGTAGGACAAGCTTTACTGTTCCAAAGTACACATGAACACCCAGCCTTTAGTTAAAATATGCCAAGCATTACAACATCCAATCACGATAATAGAAAGTTTCTAGCAGTCACAACAACGCTTATGAGCTCGTGTCAAAATTAAGATCTGAACAACTTACCCGCGCACTGAGGCCTCCGTTACATTAGCCTTGTCAGCCGCCAGAACAGGATCCTGTGAACCCATCATCCGATAATAGTCTCTATGAACTGAATAGGGCCTTGTATCCTATAAAAAGAAGAAATAACAAATTCAGACATTCTTGAATCTTGTCAGATGATCCTCCAAAGAACAGCAGGCAGCCATATTTATCGTTATTGGGCCTGAATTTTTGCACTGTAAATATAGATATATATGCTCTATTTAACAAACTTTCAAGTACAGAATTGAATTTTAAAATGAAACCCTAGTGGTTAGTTTTCTTTCCCACAAATGATTGTTCTACCTCATTGCTCAGTAAACAAAAACCCTTAATCAACTGAACCCAAAACATATTACAATTAATAAATTGAAATGATAGCTTTTAACCCTTCTTGTAGAAAATAATACTTGAACTACGAAAAATTCGGAATTAGACATCAAATCAACCCCGATCCAGAAAAAAATGATTTTAATGTTTAGAGAGAAACAAAAAGCCATTATTCCAGAGACCCTATATCAGAACAAAGAAACCATTTTGTGGAGAAGAAAGAAGAAAACACCCAGAGGAAATGCATAATTAGATTGAGAAAATGTAAAATCTACTGATACACCTACCTGCAGATGGACATGCTGCGCAGAACAAATGGGTCTTGGATTGAGAGAAATTCAATAGATTTCGAAGAAAAATAACAAAGGGATTTCGTGGAAATTTGGGACACATAAAAATGTCATTGAGTAATGGGGTAAGGCAACAGTACGCTTGGAATTTAGGAGGAGGGGAGGAAGACGGAGAGCATGGCGGGAGAAACCGAGGCAGAGGAGGGCGAGTGGTGAGCGCCTGCCTTTATGGTGCGCAATGAACCCGGCCATGTGACTCATCACGTGACCTTCCTTCTTGTTTTTTTTTTCTTTTTTCTTTATGTGAATTGATGATATATATATATATATATATATTTGCACCTCTTTTTTCAAAGGAAAAAAAACAAAAAAACAAAAAGGCAATAGTGATAGGTTTATGAGCACATCTGTTTAGTTTCCCTATTAATCATGTTTTTTTTTTTTGGGAGCTCATTACCATGTCTTATTTTGCCCTTGCTTTATGAATGCTTAGTTTTAAAAGAAAATAGGTCTGACAAAAAATGAAAAGAAAATAGAATTGGAGAGATCAAATGAAATGTATGAAGCACACTTTACGCCCAAGTCCACTTTAATGTTTTTAATTATTGTTGTAAAACTTATAGGCTTAATCAGCTACTTTTGAGTTCTCAAGAGATAAATTGTTGATTGAAATTCTGAAGATTCTAGGCTTCTTTCTCTTCTTTTATAGGTGCTGCTGCCTCTTTGTATTTTGTCTGAACAATTAATGAAAGTTATCACTTCTTTTTTGCTCTAGTTCATCTCTTCCTTGTTTTATCTTTAATTGGTGTGTGAGATTTTTGTGCGTTTGCTTGACTGGTTAGTTAATCTATTGTGGGGTTGTGTTTCAATTGTTGTTTTCTATATCTAGTATCAGAACAAATGGGTCTTGGATTAAGACAAATTCAATATATTTCGAAGAAAAATAACAAAAGATTTGGTTGAAATTTGGGGGTATATATTTAGATCCAAAAGGAGTTAAGATTCTCTGTCCATGTTTTTGTTTGTCCCTCCCTCTCACTATCTTAATTTTTTTGACACCTAGCATCCGACTTAATCCTAAAATAACAATGTTAGACTTTAAGAAAAATAAAAATTAAAAAAACTAATAATTGAAGAAAATCAAAAGACCCAACAGTCACAAAAACTCTTTCGTTTGATTCTACACTGATTTTAGGCCATGACAAATCTTTGCTTCCCACTAGAGATTCTGATAGATATACAACAAAATTACACTAAAAATTGGGTATGTACCTCAATCTTCAACCTCTTTCTCAAAAAGGCTTTTGGAGAAGAGTAGAAAAGTGAATTCAACCTCACCATTCTTCAACCCACCCAATTGCCCAACGATGCAAATCTCATTCTTATTGAGAAAACTCTAACTCTCACCAACAACAGTAGAGGATGGGGATGGATAAATTTGGTGGAGGAAGGGAGGCAATGAGAGAAGCAGAGTAGAGAATAGGGTAATTGAGGGGATTCCAACTTTCAGCCACGTTCTAGCGATACTCCTATCAGAGTGCAGCAACAATGAAGGAAGGGAATGTTGGAGACGCGAGAAAGAGTTGAGAAAAGACGTGATGCCATTTACTAGGGACGCTAGGGTTTTTTAATTTGTTTTTGTTGTTTTTGTTGTTTTTTAAGGATTATTGAAAATATAATAAATAAATAAAATAGAATACACGTGACAACATTCATTAATTGACATGGCATGACACATCAACTGCCACATAAAGTGGTCAGCTAAGGTGGTTAATGTTGTGTGTCTAAATAGCATTACTCTTTTTGTTTACTGAGCAATGAGGTAGAACAATCAATTGTCCTTGAATTTTTTGGACTTGAAAACCACAAGGGTCAAAGTGACCAAATTGAAACAACAGGGACCTTAGTGGTAAAAGTGGAAAACCAGAACGACAAAAAGTGATTTTTTACCTTTTTTTTAAAAGACGATATTCTACTTTAATATAATCTAAACTACGGTAAGGGTAATTCAAACTCGGGTGTAGAGTGAGGATCTCTAGCCAACTTGACTAAAGCTCATGTCTGCTTTTATGTTAGGACTTTTTTGTTTTTGGTAAAAAATGTTAGGACGTTCATATTACATTACATGCTAGTAGTGAATTGATTATTATAAATTATATTAGTTCCTTCCTTTTTTTTCAAAGAAAAAAAATTATAGACATAGTGATAGGATTATTAGCACATCTGTTTAGTTCCCTATAAATGAATTTATTTTATTTTAATTTGTCATGGGCTGTCTTTTAGTCAAATAATCCTCATTTGCAAATAAGTACTGGTCCCTTTTATTACAACAAAGGCTTATTGGTTGGGAGGACTTGGGAGACATACGTATGAACTTTTTATAATGTCATTTTCTTGAGTAGCCAAGATGAAACCTGTGCATACATCTTCATTCTTCTATGCAACGCAAAAGGCAACACACATCACATACCATGTCTTATTTTCGCACTAGTTTTGTGAATGTTTTAAAAGAAAATAGAACTAGAGAGATCAAATGAGATGTATCATATCACTCATGATAAAGAAAGTTTGATTAATTAAATTGAATCCTTAACATAAATTGGATCATTAATTCAAATATCCTTAACAAAAACAAAAGATAGCAATATCAACTGTGAAAAAAAGATAACAACCAATAAGGGGGCCAAGATGGCAGTAAAATGCCTCCATACTATCTAATCAAAGAGTCAAGATTACAGTCTACCTGTAATCCCACTTCTTCTTTTTGGTTACATGTAATCCCTCCTTCCATCCGCTTTTTCTTTTTCTTCTGTTATTAATTATTCCGCTTGCACTCTTGGGTTTTTTCTGGTTTCCTTTTTCATGATGCATTAAGGCTACTTCATGTTTGGCTTCTTCCTGCAAAACCCAATTATATTATGTGAGAAACTAGATCCAAATGCTAATAAAAACACTTATAGGCATGCAAACAATTGAGTCTCTTGATTCATGGTCATTAAAGAAAGAAAAAAAAATCAATTTCATGTAAACACATTTCTTTTACCTCATGCATCAAAGAATTCTCATCCAAAGTGGTGTCATCTTCTTGTTTTGGTTGCTTCATGCTGGCTGCACTCTTACCTTCTTCGGGTTCATAATCCCCGCATTCTCTGAGAGTCGTAATCATCGTAAACAATAAAATCCAATGTACAAATTAATGTTATGATGAAAACACGAGAAATGTGAAGAAAACTTACGGAGTAAAGCCGAGCGTAAGTGTGAACCAATTACAAGCAACGATTTTCACAGGAAGAACAGTTGAATGTAAGGTCTCGATCATTTGTCTTCTTCCTTCTTGAACAATTTGAAACGTGGTGATACAAAGATCTTGCACCTTATCACATTCTTCGTTAGTGCCAGTCTTAAAATGAACGAAGTCTTGGTTTCCCAGATGAACCAAAT